GCCTCTTCCATATACTTTTTTTGGTGTGAGCTTCAATAGGATCATGTGGATAAGGTGCCCTCCCAAATTACATTTGTATAAAAATGTTGATTATTGTGCATCATCTTTCAACACATTTCATGTCAGCATCTTTTTATTCCTGCTCCCCACTGCCTTGCTTTCTTCAAAGAGCAATTTACATCTCCTGCCAGCTGTTTCCATGCCTGCCTTCCTATGCAGTCTTCTCATACTTACACCCCTCACCAGATCATTTCCCTTTGTTAACAGAGCTCATCTCGTAGGTGGGCCATAGTGGTTTAGCATCCCACCCGAGACAAGCCCAGACAGACTCCTAACACTTCCCTTGTATTCTAGCACCGGCTTCTCCAATGATTCTGTGCCTAGCCCTCTCCCAGTGTTAATGGGTTAGCCAGAATCAGATCTAATTTATCCCATAGTGCTCTCTTAATCTGTTGAAGTGGGTCTTTGGAACCAGTTTTTTTTTTTTTTTTTTTTTTTTACTTAACATTTGTTCCAAAGATTCTTATAGGCATCCGCCTCTCCACACCCTCCCCATGAGTATATCTGTCAGGGGATAATATCACCTGCCTGACTTGGGATTGAGGAGGCTCATCTGAAGGCAAGGATCTGGATCTAAAGACCTTGGTGCACACAGCTCAGCTGGTGTGGCTCAGTGGTTGAGTGTCAACCTATGAACCAGGTCACGGATCAATTCCTGGTCTGGGCACATGCCTGATCCCCAGTAGGGGGCGTGCAGGAGGCAGCCGATTGATGATTCTCTCTCATCATTGATGTTTCTATCTCTCCCTCTCTCTGAAATCAATAAAAAATATCTATAATAATAACAGCATGATATGCTAATTAGACCAGACATCCGTATGAGAAGACTGCATAGGAAGGGAAGGAACTGGCCAGTGCATCCTTCTGGACATCCTTCCTGACAGACGACCTTCCAGACAAAGCTGTGGTGGCAGTGGGGGAGGGGGTGTGTGTGGGGGGGGGGGCGAGGCAGAGACAGCCACAGGGGCAGTGGGGGCCAAGCCCCTTGCAAGAATTTCATGCATTGGGCCTCTAGTATATATATATATTTAAATGAAGACATTGGCACACACAGCATTCGTTTCTTACCTATCTGAAGACATTAAGTTAAAGGATGGATTCACCAATGTGTGCAGTGCCACTACCCATTGGCCTTTTGCAAACACATTCATGACTGCTATGGCTGTATAGGGGTGGAGAGGTAGGGTTTAAGTCTAGGCCATGGTTAGGAAATAGTATGGTTAGACAACACGGAGGCACAGATTACAGCAGGGGCCTCTTTAAATAAATAAAGGGCTTGGACTGCTGACAGCCTGGGGCTGAAACTGAGGGAACTGGCCAGTGCAGGATGTGGACAAATGTTCCTGTCTGCGTAGGCAGGATGAAACCCAAAGTAAGTGAGTTATTGTCCAAGTTCTCTAAACATGAGGAGTTGAAGGAGTCTGAGGACCAGGGCCATGTTCAGCGGGCAGCCCTGGCACAGAGTTGGCTAAGGTGGAATGAACTGAATTTGTAGCCTCAGGCAAGGAAGGCCAGTAGCATGATCCCAGCCAGAGCCTTAGAGGGAAAGCTGGGTCAGCAGCCAGGGAAACCAGATGAAAACAAATTTGTAAGTGCAGGGCCCACAGAGCAATGAGAAACAAAACATGACCCAGCAGCTGCAGGCACTGAACGTTGGGGACGATGGAGGAAGATTTCCCCTCTCCTTTTTGGCCAGGGGTGGGGGCATGGCTACGTTTGGGGTGCTTCAGACTGACATGAGTAGGTGCGTTTTCTGGGACCTGTCTCCAGAGACCATTGTGGCCAGGAGAGGGACTTGCACTGTTCTGGGTGTGGGCTTGGTGGATGGCAGAGGCCAAAAGGCAGGGAACTCAGCTTGGAGGCTCTCAGGAGAGAGAGGGTCCCCAGACAATGCGTCCAGGCAGGTTGTAGTCACCTGTCTTTGCAGAGTAGAGTACACCTGAAACCTATGTAATTTGTTAACCAATTCAACCCCATAAACTCAATAATAATAAACAAGAGTGTTTAAGGCTGTACTACTCCCTAGGACCAAAGAGTTTCATGGATGCTGGTGATTAAGGAGGTCTAACTCATAGCCACCACTCGTATAGCAACATTTAAAACTACAGGACCTCAGCCAAAAACTACATGAATGGCATCACTGAATTCTTCCTTTGGTTTAACAAACTTTTAGCTCTTTGCCTAAGTTGGATAGGCTCTAAATGTTGGTCGCAACTGTGGAGGGACACCATGCGCTTTGTTCACTAAAATTTTCCTGAGTTTTTTAAATTGCCTGCAGAAAATTCAGAGTTCTCGTTGAACTAAAGGGCATCGTCTGGGGCTGGGACCTGGTTTTCTTCTCAGGAACCTGGTTCTAAACTTACCTGTGGCCGATGAGGACTATGCTTCATACCCATTTTACAGAGGGAAGTAGCTGAGGCACAGAGAATTACATTACTTGGCTAAGGTTATACAGATCAGAAAGACTTGAATGCAGAAGTCTGATTTCCTAGCTTTGCTGTTCCCCACTGTCCTGTGTCCAGAGTTGGGATTTTAATGAGAGAGAAACAAAAGGTTGGGGAAGTGGAATTGGTGCCAGGAAACCTAGAGTGTGGGAAGGGCAGCACAGAAGATAAGCATCGGGTCTCACTGGTGGTGGTCTTGGAAAAGTGTAGGCATCGAGGGCCTGGATGTACTTCTTCAGATAAGAAGGCAAGTCCAGTAAGAGTGAGGTCATGAGAGTAGAGGTGGCTGTGGTCAGTGGAGGACATAGATTTCAGTTTTCTTAAGTGGAACCATTAAAGCTAGATGGAGACAGATGAGAGTGGTGAGAGCAGCTAGTGATCCAGGGTGCCAACCAAGACCCAGACACTGCTGAACTAAAAACTACAGTAACAGGAAAGAGAAAAGACTGGCACCTGTAGGCAGCATAGAAGATGGAAATAGCCTTCAAATCACCCGGGGAGCTCTCTTACTTCGCCTGTGAAGTGCAATGCACGTGGCTTTGCAGATGCACCCCGTGTATACAGTAATACTTGTGCTTAAATGTGTAACTTACAGTAATAACAAGTAGATGCCAAATAGAATGGCAGTGGATGTGTTTTTGCTATAACCATCTCTCTCTACCTCTGTTGCTTTTGCCAAGTGTGTGCAGTCGAAGCTTGGGAGGTTAATGCTCTAATGATGTGAGCCCTCCACTGAGCACTACAGGTCTGGGGTCAAAGTGTGACAAAGCTGCAAATGTGTGACAATGGTCATGCTGTTAGAAATGTTAATGAAATACTGATTATGTCCTTGAGGGCTTCAGGGTTCAAAAGAAAGTTTGCAAAGAACCGTTCCCTACGGAAGCTC